TACTATATAAATAATATCTTTCAAAACCTGAGATTCATAGTGCCAATTTAAAGCTGTGAGAGACCACCAAGCTGGACACATGCTAGTAAGTTTTACAATACCAGAAGCAAACATCAATCGAAATAAAAGCCATTTTACCAACCAAAAAATCAAATTATGATGAGATCTAATAAAATTAGGCCTTGATATAACAGTATTAGGAGAAAAAATACATAAATTAAATACTGCATGTCACTAACAATGATACTGAAATAAAACAGGAATTGTATATACAATTATAATATACATAATATACATGTATATACAAATATATATATACATGTATATTTATTAAAGAGTGTAAGCTCTATTTGAGATAACTTTTTCAAACTATAGCCTTCTATAATAAAAGGCCTTGACATTGGCTAAAACGCTATAACTGATTAAACTTTTGTTACTGATATAATTTTATATGAGGTAGTGTCTATTGGTAGAGTCTATATCGTCTAATACAAATCACTATAGCTTTAGTACTTTTAATTCTCTGCTAAGAGTTTAATATGTTAATTATCCAGCAAATAAAAAATTATTATTTATTAAAATAAAAAAATTATTATTTATTAAAATAAAAAAATTATTATTTAAAAAATTATTATTTATTTATTATTTATTTTTCATCAGTAGAAAAACAGGAATATCAAGTTGCAACATTTTTTGTATGTTGAATTTTTTGTATGTTGAACATTTGAATGTTTTAAAATTACAGATTTAGCATTTATAAAGTATTTCCTAATAAAATATATTTCATAACATTTCAATTAAGCCATAGCACAATAGCAGGTACCTGCTACTGCATAACTGGTATCTTGTGTAAGCTGCTAAAAACTAACCTGATAAAACAAATTCGGCTCAATAACCATTACTCAATAACCTTTCTACTAGATCAATTAAGATATAGCATAAATGTGCTATTGGATTACTGGTATCTTATGTAAGTTGTTTTACTTGCTTACTTGTAGATTTTATAAAACTTAACAGTTTAGCAGTTTATTTTGTTGTAACTGTTAATCACCAACTAAGTGGATTTAATTAATAATAAATTAAATAAGATTATCATAATATCATTAATATAATCTAGTTGTAAATAATATATGCAAATCTATGTTTATTACACATATGCAATTCTATGTTAAATACACACATGCAAATTTATGTTTAAAACACAAATGCAAATCTATGCCCAAAAAAACCATATACAAATGTTTAGAAAAGTAACATACCCATATTCATTTGTACTGTTCTGTAAATTTTGAGATAAAAATATAGTTAAAAAACCAGTTTCTAACAACAGAATATCCCTAACAATAAAATATATATATATATATATATATATATATATATATATATATATACATATATATATATATATATATATATACTATATATATATATATATATATATATATATATATATATATATATATATATATATATATATATATATATATATATATATATATATATATATATATATATATATAATTAACAACAATAAATTACATTTATTTACAAGGAAATAGAGTTATTCCTAGAACATAAGTCTCAGAACCTAAGTCATAGGAACCTAAGTCTTAATTTTAAAGACTTGAAGACTTAATTTTAATTATTTTATTGATGTATTATTTTTTGTAAAAAATATCATTTTTAAAATATTATTGTATAATTTCAAAAAATTTTATACTTGTTCATTTAAACAGAAAAAAACTTATAAAAAAGTATGAAAATGCATTTTTATGAGTCCTATAAAATATTTATTAATTTGAAACAGAAATTAATACCATTGAAACCACATAAATGTTTGTCCAACCTGGAATAAAAATCATTAAAAACTTTTTTATATATAAAATTTTATATAAAAGTTTTTTTTTTTTAAAATCACAAATTAAATTATTTCTTATAAAAATTTGTGTTTTTAAAGTGCTATAAAAACTTGTGTTTTAAAATAAAATTGACATTGAAAAAGATATTAATGCTGAACAAATGAGAATGAACATATTAGCAAAACCATTGGATTATACAAGAAATTTTGAAAAGATTATCAAGAATAAATGCTTGATAATCTTTTCAAAATTTTCAAATAAAAAGTTTGCTTCTTTTATAAAAAAATAATCATGCAATAAACTAATTGATTACTAAAAATAAAAAAATTATATTTAGGATGAGGAATGAATAATGAAAAAAATAATATGCAGGATAAAAAATGAAGAATGAAAATAATAATATGTAGGATGAAGAATAAAGAATGAAAATAATAATATGTGAGATGAAGAATGAAGAATGAAAATAATAATATGTAGGATGAGGAATAAAGGATAAATAAAAAAAATATGCAGGATGAATAATAAAAGATGAAAAAAAATAATATCTAGGGAGATAAGGAGAAAAAGAGAAAAAAAAGCTTACTAGGTATGTAAAAAAATACATCAACCACACATAAAAAAAATGCCTGCCTAGGTATATAGAAAAATACATCAACTAAAAAATAGCTTACCTGGTATATAGAAAAATACATTAACCACAAAACAAAAAAGCTTAAACGATTTCTAAATCTTTCAAAAATGATTACTCCTGCTGATAATAATCCACCCATAATACAATATAATTCAATCGCACAGGCAACATTTAGTTTTAGGTAAGGAGCCAGCCATAACAGAGTGAATTTTGCTTTAAACTTTTCTAGTAATGTAGCATCACCTAATATTATATATAACATATATATATACATATACATATACATATACATATATATATATATATATATATATATATATATATATATATATATATATATATATATATATATATATATATATATATATATATATATATATATATATATATATATATATATATATAAATCTATATATATATATAAATTTTTGCAAAACAAAAATTATTTTATTTTGTTTATATAGTACTTTTTAAATTGTTACAACTGAAAAAAATTCTTTCCAAATGGTAAGGCAGTTGGACAGACATGGTCATTGTGCCTTAGATTTTCAGGTCTAGTAGCCCGTTCACTTAGATGAACCTTGCTTATGCCATTTTCAAGGCATAAGTTGCCATTGCTCATGATAGTGTCATTTAATGGTAGTGACATGTATACTGTAAAAGGTAACTGAAAAAAGTATTGGCAGTTGTCAACAGGGAACCGTCACCAATGATGGGTCCTCTAGGTCAGAGGACCTTAAGATGACTCTAACAACTCACAATGTTTGAAATGATTTTAAACTTAATGATCAAAATTTAACAACAACGATCAACGCAAACTTAACAATTCACAATGTTTAAAATGATCAAACTCAAACTTAGCTCTAACAACAGTTTAAAATGATGTTCACCGTCCTCCTGAAACCGGGTTAAGTGTCAAGTCTGTTCCCGGAGAGACCGCCATAAGCCTGTGAAAGCTTATGACCTGGGGATTCCAGAAATACCAAAAATCAAATCATCCTATTACCTCCGAGAAAGAAAAACAATGTTGAATTTTATTATTTATTGCACCGAAATGTGAAATGACAGCATTAAAAAATTTTGTATTTTTACAGTATTCTTTAAAAATAAAACTTTTCTATGAATCAATAAAGTTTTCAAAACATGAGTATTCAAGAAAAAAATTCAGATTTGGAAACAAAACTGCATGTAAATTCAATTCCAAGAAGAAATTTTTTGATTTTCTTTAATTTTCTCTTCACCGTGAATAATTTTATCAAAAATTCTTGCTGTTGAAGTCTACTAGGCAGTGAACAAGCCTCTGTCCATATTCTGGATGACTAATGGGGTGCTTGTATCTTGTCCAATGAGTATTGAAATGATGGTGCATGGCTTCTGTTTTCTGTTCACTATAAATTCTGAGAGAAGATTTGTTTTTAAAGACAAAGTCTTTTGCGTGGAAAAAAACAGTGTGCACCTTGGGTTTCACACTCCCACATGGTAGAGCTTGAAAGGAGCTTCTGAAAGCATCAATTTTTTCTGTAACTTATTGCCAAACATGCTGACACAACTTCTCCAAATTTTCCAAAAGATTCAATAATTGGAAAGACCTGCAAGACAGCATTTTTTTCTGCCTAATTTTGCAAAATGTCGAGGTTTTTAAGCAGTTTCTTTTGCTGAGACAACTGGATGATCCTTGAAAAGTTGCCTTGAACTTGATGGTCCTATAAATACACAAAGCCTATTTAAAATTATTTTCAAAACCTAAATTTGAAAAAGTTTTTGAGGTACATTACCTGGAGTTATTGGCAGAGATTTTCCCCCCTTTGGTTGGGCAAGACAAAATGTTCCAGGAGATAATTCCTTGTTTGCAATTACTGATGATGCAATTTGTTCTGCAACTGTGCAATCACCTGCTGCCAAAATTTGTAAATTTTCATAAAACTGAGCGGTAGAGCATGGATGAGGTAGACCCCTACCAATTAGAGAAAGACATTTTGAGCAACGCCTATCAGAGCTTTGTTCTTCATTTTTTTCCATCTCTAGTGGGTGTTTTTTGTTTATTTCAATCTTCCAATAGAACAGATCAGGCAGTTGCATTGCTGTCCTCTTGTTTGGGGCCTAACAATTATTCTTTCAAACTGAAATAGTTGAGGTAGTTCCACTTGTTGCCACTCATCACGTTTTCTTAAAGTAGTTCTGCATGGGTCACACAAACCTTAAGGAATTCAAAAGTCATCAAAGTCAATTGGTCGGCTATATATTTTTTGGAATCCCCAGGTCATAAGCTTTCACAGGCATATCGCGGTTTCTCCGGGAATGGACTTGACACTTAACCCGGTTTCAGGAGGACGGTGTGTTCTGATGTGCTCAACTAAAACAACTTTGTGGCTAAATGCTTTTGACTTTAAATGCTTTTATATCATCAAAATACTTTTTAATGAAGTAACAAAACACTTCTAATGAAGTAACAAAACACTTCTAATGAATTTTTATAATAAGTATACTGTTTGCTTTTTTTTTACTTATACAATTATGTATTTTTTATGATAAATAAGGAATACATAATTATATCTTTTGAAACATATTTAAAAAAAACAAAATAAAGTACAAATGTTAAAACAAAGCATGAAATGGTTTTTTAATGCGTAAATTAAATAGACAAAGCATTTTAATTTGATGAGTTTTGTTTTAGTTGGGTTATATACAAATATATATGTTTTTGCTTTAGTTAAGAATTTTTTTTCTTTTCTCTTTTGTTAAGATTTTCTTTTCTTTTTTAAAGTTTTTTTTAGATAAGTTTAATTAAGTTTTTGTAGCATATTTTTAAATTTTGAAAATATGTCAAAAGCTGTGGTTAAATCATCAAAGCAAAATACAATTTGCCTGGTCACGTGCAATCACATGTCTTCCTGAGAAAGACTGATTTATGAACTTGGTCATCTTTACATGACCTTTAAAACTTTATTAAATCAAAATTTAAAATTTTCAATGACATAAAAAAATTTTATAACATGGAATTATTACTTATTTTACTCATATAGCATTTTAATTACTAAAATGCTATATTAATAAAATAAGTAAATTTAAATCATAACAGTTAATAAAACATCACATGTTGTTTTATTAACTTTATGATTTATAATTTTGGACATAGCTAGTACTAGTTTTGGATTTAAAAACTTGTTGGAATTTAATTTTGGCCATTATTTAATAGTTTATTAAAATTAAAAAAATGTCAGTATATCTCTGCTAAGTTCATCATTAGACATGTTCAGCAACGTATCCAGGCCAAATTTGATACTGGTATACCGGTATGGGCCCTCTAAATTTAAAACAATTTTATATTAGCACCAAATTTGTCATAAAAAAATTAAAAAAAAGTCTTTATTACTTATTGTCTTGCTGTTTTATGATAAAATTTGTTATAATAATTACAAAATTGTTATTAATGTTGTTTAGAAAAAGCAACATTAGCAAACAACTTTTAAAACAGCATTAAAGCAGATTATAAATGTATTTTAAGTCAATCAGCTTAATTCAAATTCACGTGTCAATTCAGAGATGAATCAGAAATGAATTCAAATTCACGTGGATGAAATATGGAATAATTTGGAATAAAATGGATTATTGGATTAAAATCTAAAATTGAATTAATTTGGATTAAAATTGGATAAAAATGTAAAACGTACGCTTTGATTGAATTAAAATAGGAAACACTTAGCATTTTATATTTTTAAATAAAAATATTAACTTGTTTAAAATACTCTTAATATGATGATCACATGACGTTTTATTAAAATATTCAGTCAATATTTAAATGGCAATTTAATTAAACAAATTATATATATTTTTATTATTTAAATTATATATAATTTATTATTAATCTAAATAAATTATATTAATAATAATTATATAAATTACACTATAAAGTTACAGAACAATAGAAACATCAACCTGCTTTTTAAAACATAAATATTAGTACAAATGTAATTTAATTTATACTAAAGTCATCTATTGTAAAAATACTTTATAATAAAGTATTAAAACATTTTGAATTTTTATTGTAAAATACAATTTATATTGTGTCGTGAAATAGTATTTATATTATTTAAATGTCATAAATATCGTTATTTCTTGAAAAATCCAAATATTTCAAAATATTTATTCTATGTTTTGGATTTTTTTGTTTTGTTTTGGAAAGTATTCTTATTTTATTTTGTATTAATTTTTACAAAACAAATTTTTAAAGTTTTGCTTTGTACAATTTTATACAAAACAGAAAAAATCTTGTTTTCTTTCAGTTTTATCAAAACAGTAGTAATAGTTTAATTTACAACTTTTTTCCCCTTTTTTGATATATATTATCCTTATTTATTTGTAATTCATTCTTAATAATTTGTAATTCATTCTTTTTATTGCTGCAGCTCATAAGATTGGTGAACTTTTGCTTTGTAAGCAAATGAATCAAAATCTCCATTTGATACTTCATCAATTGAAAATTTTTTGTTATTGACTCCACAATGATTCTGTATAATGTGATCCTATAACAATTATGAGTGAATATCCCATCTTACTAAGTCAGACGTCTTACCTAATTTTTTTATACTTTAATTTTGTATTTGTAATTTATTAGGGTAAAATATTTTTAATATAAAAAAATAAAAAATGTCAAAAGTACAACTACTGTTATATATATATATATATATATATATATATATATATATATATATATATATATATATATATATATATATATATATATATATATATATATATATATATATATATATATATATATATATAAAAGCTGAAAAAATTGGGGTAAAACTTTATAATCATAAAAATAAGAAAATTTGAAATACTTATTAACAATTATTCAATTAATTACTCAATTTCAACCACAAATGAAAAATTTAATATATAGAAAAAAACAATAACAATATAAGATGAAACTTTTCTATTAAACTAACTTTTTAATTGGAGATGAGCAGGTAGAAGACCATCTGGACCATACAGGCCTAAAATATTGATGAAATCTTAATAGGTGTAATTTAATAAGAAATAGCTGCTTTTATTTTTAATAAATTTTTAACAAATTTGCAACTTTTTAAGAAGTTTGTAGATTATTATAAATATTATAACTTATAATAACAATCAATAAAGTAGAAATATTACTTTTATTTTATGTAGAACTAATTATTGAACATTATGCAAACATATAATTATAAAAGTGTATACACTATCTGGTTATTCTTAAAGATAGAATATAGAATCAATTTAAATTGATAAATTTAATTATGTGAAAATTTAATTATGTGGCAGTGAGAAATTTTAGAAAAACCAAAAAATAAAGAAAAGTTGCATAGTAACAAATCCTGCATTAATTTAAAGGTTTTAAATCGAATGTAAATTTATTTGGCAGACTAATAACTGTTGCCTTGTCAACACAACAAGAAAACAACTAAAAACAAAGTAAAACCGTATCTTCTTTGTAAACTGCAGATTTTTTACCAAAACACATATTGATTTTTATAATGGTGCATACACAGAATGTATACAACAATAAATGTAATATATGAATATTTTTTGTATACATATTGGAGTATACAATTATAAATGTAACGGATTCATGAATAATTTTAATAAGTATAATAAAGAACAGAGAATGTTTTTACTGTTGAGTATTTAAACCCTCATACTTAAATATGTGACATTTTTATCAATTTTTCTGTTTTATTTATTAAGTTTTGACATTACATACCACATACTTGTTTATGTTTTTGTCTACAGGTTTAGAGGTTTGTTTACTTAGAATATCAATAGATAACACCCATAGAATACTAATAGATGACACCCATAGAACACCAATAGAAGACACCCATAGAACACCAATAGATTTCTGTTTTCTAACAAAACTATGTTTTTTTCTAACAAAACGATGTGTTTCTGTAATTATCATTCTTCAGATACTTTACTAAGTTGCACATTTCAGTCACAAACTGTTTGGTGTTTTGTTTTGGTGTTTTCAAAATTCAGTAATAGCTTTACTCCAAAACAGCTTTAGTGACTTATTTTTGGAGTAAATGCCAATTAAAACATTTTTGTTTAATTGCTCTTGAATTGCTGTTTTCAACATGCTTTTAACATCGTTTTCAACATGAAGTTTGTAACTGGCCTAAAGACTACACTTTTGTTCCTTCACAATAGCAGCAGGTAAACATTCTGCAACGTCCTTAATAATAACAAAGCTCTGAAAGCATTTCAAATGAATCTTTATTAAAATTTAACATACTTAAATTTAAAACTTAAATCAAAAAAAAAAAAATATTTTTTGATAAACTCTAGTAAACTATCATTAAAAAAATCAGCAAAAAAAAAAGAACTCAATTATGAAAACAGTATTTAATTCAAAAAATTACAAAAGATTTATAGAGGTATATAATGAAATTAGGAGTAAGGAGATTGCAATAAAAAGTCGTATTTTGAAAACTGATATAATGGTATGTGTAAGTCTGCTTTGTATATATAGTGGTGTGTAGTCAAATTACAGACCGTTGTGATGAATGAATAAAAACCATAACTATATAGGAAGTATATATAGTATATCAAAGAGCCCAAGATGGATTAAACGCCTATGCATGGAAAATCTTTGACCTCACTAACCAACCAAGCATTATACCAGAAGAGAGTCTGTCTAACTAATGTATAAAAGTTAACTAAAGTATAAAAGTTCTTAAACCAATGTTGTCATACATCAAACACCTAAGCATAGTTTATTATTTGCTCTATGTCTCAATGGAAAATCACTCGAACCCGCACCCAGAACATTCCATCTCATGGTACTGTGTATCTGATAGTAAATGTGCATTAGCGACACATGATGGTTTATATATACTTATATACTTCTTAGTTAGCTATCTTAATTTTATTATTTTTTATTCAAAAAGAATAAAATTAGTAACTCTGAAATGAAATCAGCTAACTTTGAATAAAATTAAGTAAATAATAAAAATTCTTAGATTGCATATGTTTATGGTTTGCATATGGTTTTCATGAGATTTGTGCAAGAAACCCAAGAAGACCTAGTGCAAGAGATACAAGAAGTTCAAATATATAGAAATATTAACAACACTACAATAATTACAAATTTTTATAAAATATTTGCTTAAAATTTTTAATATTTTTCTCTGCTATATCCAAAGATGAAAAGGTTTTTTTTTGTTTCATTGGCAGTTTCAAATTTATAAAGTTTTCAGTAGTGTTGTTATCAAAGTAGTGTTGTTTTCAGTAATGTTGTTTTAAAGTTTTCAGTAGTGTTATTATAAAGTTTTCAGTAGTGTTGTTATAAAGTTTTCAGTAATGTTGCTATAAAGTTTTCAGTAGAGTTGTTATAAAGTTTTCTGTTGCTATCGACTTTGACTAAATTGACTTAAAGTCAACATATCGAAAATCAAAAATCTGTCAACTTTGAAAAGTCAAATAGTCAATTTAATTGATTAAGGACTTTCTACTAATCAACTAAAAGTTTATTTAGCCGAGTAAAAATATTAAAATCCTTATATCTTTTCATTCAATTTAACTTTACAATCTTTATTTTTTTTTTTGTTCATTTAAAAATAATATCATGTACTATTATAACTATTTTTTTGTTTACTCTCTAAAAGTTCTAATTCAAAGCATGTTAGCACTTATACCTATGTTAGCACTTATACCTAATTAAACTTTCAATTATGTTAATTTCATTAATTTTTTTTTTTGTTTACTTGATGCTTATGATTTTCATAAATACATCATACAGGTTTTTCATAAACGTTTAGCATAAAATTAACAGAAAAACAAACGTTGAGTTTGTGGACTTTTTTTACTCATATGTCAACAATTGCTTAAAAATGTTAAAAAAGAATGTGGCTTTTGTTTTTGAGTTTTTTATCGAATATTTATTTTACATTAAATAACATTCTTTTATGTTTTAAAGATATATAAAGAAACCAGCTAAAACATTTTGTTAGCAGCCTTCATGATCAGGTGTAACTATTTTTTTAAATTTATTCTTTATCACTTGGTTTAGATGCAGTTTTCTCCATTTTAATCAGGATATTTATTTAAGTGCTAATACAAGTACAAGTGTTAATATTGTTTAATTGAGACAAATGCTTTTTTTCTTTCTTTTCTTTAATTTTTTTCAAATTATTAACTACTTAAATCAAATTAATTTATCTTAAAAATAAATATATAATTTATTTTTAAAACAAATATTATAAATATATTTATTAAAAAAATAAATATATTTATTATAACTAGTTTGTTTACAGTTTAATTAAAGTATTACTTTTTTAGTTTAATTTAATAAAATAAAATAAAACATTTGTTTTTGCAATTTTTATTTTAATTATTTTATTTAGACAAAACATTTGTTTTGTCGTTTTTATTTTAATTATAGAAAAATTATAGAAAAATATTACCAAAATGTCTATATTCTTGTCTACACTCTCTAAGTCTTACATTTAATTTAAACATGAAGTATTTACTATGCATTTATTTTTTAATAAAGTTTTGAATGCTACTGTTATTTATGTTTATGTTGAAGTTGTTATATGTTGCTATTTCATTTTTTTACAAAGGAAGATGCAATAAATATTTCACCTCAACAGTCAGTGAGTATTCATGTTTCTTTTACAACAGAGCTTATCATTCAAAGAAAGTTCATTGGTCTTCACAAATGGAACTACAGCCAGGACTGTTCTCAAATAGTAGATTCCAAAAATTTATTACCTAAGTTTTATTTTCCTATTACTTCATATCAAACTTTACTAAAAAATGATCTCACGTTTCCAAACATGAGCTAATGAATAATGACAATATACTCTTTTGACCCCAAATAAAAGTAATGTTGAAGTCAGACAAATTAGAGAAGAACAATAAAAAAAGTTGAAAAAGAAGCTGGAGAGACAAAAGACATCAGTAGAGAGACAGAAGACATCAGTGTAAAGACCATAATGAAAAAAATCACTAAAGGAACTCCAGTTAGCTTAACAGTAAGATGTGTGATGATAAAGTGAGCCTGAGAAAGTTTGAGAGGAACCTCAGTTAGCTTTATAGTAAGATGCGTGAAAGTAAGCTTTACAGTAAGATATATAAAAGTTAGCTTCACAGTAAGATGTGTGATGATAGAGTGAGTCTGAGGAAGTGAGAGAAAAGTCTTAAAGGTCATAATCCAAGCCATACAAAAGAGAAACTAAGCACAAGCTAGGGTCAAAGACAATGAGTGAAGGTAAGTGATTAGTGTTAACTATTTAAACTAGAGGTTGAAAAAAAAGTTTTCAACTTTTGTGTAAAAAGAATCAGTAACTTTGAAAAACTTTAAAATTATTTAGTTAAATGTTGCAACAAGCGTTTTGTTCCCTCTTTCACAGCTTATTTAATACTGAAAATACAACTTTCGGCAAATACTTTGAACCTTGAATTGTATAAGATCCTAGAAATTTCAAATTTTATCTTACTGTTCACATGGATGTCTGATATCCTTCCCCATATTCTGATGAGATTTCAAGCAGAGTGATTTATCAAGGTCTTCAGAATTCTTTTATTCATTTAAAGTTTCATTTATAAATTCTGATAAATTTAGCTTTGGTTTAAATTTTTTTATTTTGTCAGAGCCTGTAAACTTGACACAATGTAAAACCTCACACAATGATGTATCTACAACACCTATTCTTCCTAGTTTTTATGTTTCATTTCCAGGGCTCTGATTTATCAAATAAAATTTTTTTAAACTTGAAAAAACGTTTAAACCTTTTTAACAATATTTGATGTAATTGCCTATTTTAAATATACAAACTGCATTTTGTACTGACAGCACATACATATGAATAGCAATACAAACAAACTGACCACCAATAGCAGCATATCAATACAAATAAACTGACCACCAATAGCAGCATATCAATACAAATAAACTGACCACCAATAGCAGTATATGAATACATATCAATACAAATAAACTGACCACCAATAGCAG